ACAATGTTCGATCGCTTTTCAGCGTCATAATTTACCATTGATGCCATGATATGCCATGGAATCTTGTTACGTACATCATTGTAGATCATTACCCCGGCAGCCACACCATAACACTCCCTACGGCTCCGATGACTCGTAGTCGCTGAGAAAGCACCGAAAGCTGTCGCCGCCGCATTGCGAGGTGCTGGGACACGGGAGGCTTCCGGGGGTGTTTTTCTGAAGCTGCTGGGAATCATTGAACAATGATGAATTAATATGGTATCCAAGTGATGACGACGACGACGATGATGATGACGACGAGGAGGATGATGATGATGATGATGATGTTCATGATTGATGACTGATGATTGCATGATGATTGATGATTGATGATGATGATGGTGATGACGATGATGACGATGATGACGATGATGATGATGATGGTGATGATGATGATGTTGATGATGTTTCAGGGATGTCAACCAGAGTTTCTGCAGGTTTATTTTGTGTTCGGATGTTTGAGTTTTTTCTGACCATTCTGGGGCTGAATCAGGAATGCAGTCAAAGAATTCCCAATGGTTCATCTGAGCACGTTTGCTTTCTGTGTGTGTGCGCGCGGTATCACAAGGAGGGGCGTTCCTTAGTAATTCAGAAATGTTCATACCGCAGACATGAAAAAAACGTTTCATCACCGCTAAGATGTGTTGCTGACCAGCCCATGTTCGGTTGATTGTTGCACTCGGTTTTCCTTACAATTCCCATACCTTCCTGGGATTATGATTCTGGATGACGAATGTATTATTTTCTGACGGTTCCTAGCAGCTTCAAGCATTGCTTCCAGGCGACTGTCCGGCCATGCGTTTGTGGTTCGCCTTGTTGCTTCCATGGCGCTGTTGGGCAGAGGTGAATACTGAATGGAGCTTGAGAGGTTTGCATTTCTATTGGATGAGTTCATTTTAAGGGCCGGTCCTAGGAAATTTACAAATTAATACCCTGTAGTAGTGAGATGTGGTGAGATGAGATTGGTAGGATCTGATTAAGTAGCCAACGCAACATTGTGAGATTGTATGAGAGTGTCTAGTTTTTTAAGCCATCTTGTGGACTTTTGCTACCATGTGCTATAAAACATCTGTAACACACTCTATATATATAATATAATATAATATATATATATATAATATTTAATATATAATATTTAATATATAATATTTAATATATAATATTTAATATATAATATATATATAGTATATATATATATATAGCCTAACCATGGGGCGTGATTGAATTGCTTGGATATGAACGGCATCCTTGTCATGTTTTGGGAGATGTCGTTCATTCCCACTTCAGCAGTTGCACGTTGCACAAGCCCACGGCAACTCGAGGGAACAACCGAGGCTATGAAAGGATAGCCTCATGTCTCAGGGCAAGAGCGGTCAGTATTGAGTATGTATGGGTTCAATACGGAAAAATCTATTGATTAAGATTAATTACTTCGAATTTTGCACAACTTGCAGGTTGTGAAGCTCTTATTAGGTTTGCGTTCTTCAAGACGAGTATCCACATGATTTTTAGTCAAATACCTTTACACTCATGTGACACACAGTCCTCCTTTGACCCCTTCCAGTGTGTGATGCACATGGTGATCCTGAAGACCAAGTGCCCAAATATCTCAGTTTTCAGTTGTCAGCTTGGGGTTGCTATCGGTTTTCCACGTTGGTAGGGTAGGGTGGATTATGAACTGCTTCATTTCCTTCCACGTTGTGGGATGGTATCGGTCGTATGAACCATCCAGTTGGGAGCCCAATCATAATGGTTTGAGCCAAAACTCGACCCCGAAATGGGTAAAGGACACAAAAACGCTAAGCTTATGTGACATGTGCTCACTTGACCAGAAATGTGCTATGTATACATTTACATATATATATATATGACCCAGGACTCCCAAGCCCCCCCCTCCCCCCCCATGGTCCCCCCCCCCCTGTGGCCTGTGGTGGTGGTATGGTTCTTCTGGTCCCCCCCCCTGTGGCCTGTGGTGGTGGTATGTTGGTATGTTGGTATGTTGGTATGTTGGTATGTTGGTATGTTGGTATGTTGGTATGTTGGTATGTTGGTATGTTGGTATGTTGGTATGTATGTATGTATGTATGTATGTATGTATGTATGT